TCTCCACTAGTTCATCGATCACTGGTTCTAGAAACACATCGATGTCATTCCCAGGCTATCTTGGCCCTTGGATCAGTAGTGGCATCTGGATGTACGACCGCTTCATACAGACCCAAGGTGGAAGGTTGTATATACAGAGTGTCACTGGCCAGGTGCTATTATTGCTTCTAACCTGGTCGAAAGGATTCATCCCATCTGTGCTCAAAGCAAACCAAAGGTGCCTTACCTCTCCACTGATGTCCTTATAGAACATAGTATTGACAGTCCTCCAGTCATGCCCATCGGCGGGGTGCCTCATCATTGTATCTTTCTTACGCTCTTTGCCATGCCAACACAACAGCTTGGCTGACTTTGCACATGCAAACAACCTATGCACCCAGGGAGCTATAGGGAAATACCAAACGACCTTTACAGGACCTCCTTTGGTCTTGGTACCCTCATCTGACGGCCTTTCCTTATACCGTGGAGCTTCACACTTGGGGCACTTGTCCAAGTCTTTGTATTCTTCTCCACGGTACAATATGCAATCATTGGAACACGCGTGGATTTTTTCAACCTCGAGGCCGATGGGGTAGATCATTTGCTTGGCCAAGTATGTCTTTTCTGGCAACTCATTTTTTCTGGGAGCATTTTCCTTATTATACCTAACAACTGATCGAAGCCTTTATCGCTCAATCCGTTTGTCGATTTGAACTCTAACAGCATAATATCGGCTTCCAGTTTGCTCATTGGACAATTAATATACAATGGTGTTTTGCCATCTTGTCTAATTTTCTCTAGCTTTCTCAGCTGTCTTTCACTAAGACATCCGGTCTCTACATTACGTAGCAGCTGAGAAATGCCATCATTATCATCGGTGTCATTAGCTAGCGTGTTCCTAAACACATTATTAACTGTGGCCATAGGTTCCGTGTTGACATCGGGTTCCTCATCAGCGTCATGGATGGCTACGTCAGACATGTCCACATCATCATCGTTTTTCTGCAGAACATTCACACCAACCTCGCCATGCATAGTCCATATCGTATAGTTTGGCATGAACCCCCTGGTAATCAAGTGCAATCGTATAGACTCAATTTGACGAAAGTTCCTATGATTCTTGCAATCTTTGCATGGGCAGAAGACAGGGTTCCCATTCCCAGCATGGGCTTTGGCATCGGTGATAAACTGGCTGACGCCATGCATGTACCGCTTGTCCGTTCAGGACAGATGCATCCACTCTCGATCCATCTCTGCACAAAAAAAATACTGAGACAGTAATTACAAAGAATTAATAAGAAATCGAGCTTCATGAACAACAATTGTAGCTCGAAAGTACCATTTTTGGAAAACAACTAATTATAGCATCACATACTAACAATGATGATCTTGACCACCATGGAATAATTAGCTAGGAATTTAAATGTGTTCATAGACACCAACCTTTTGGATGATGGATTCACCACAATTTGAGCCTTGCACAAATGTCCAATTGGAAAAGTGCTCTCTAGAATGGAGAAAGAACTAGAATGAGAATCAAGCAATGTAGCCATCAAAACGAAGCTAATTAAGCAACAAAATCAAAGGAGTGGATGTTTGTTACTAACCTTAAAGCAAAAAGATCAAGCCATTCTTCAAAATCCAAGCACTAGCTTCATGGTGAAGAGCAGCCGCAACAATGGAGGGAATGGTCCAAACACGCGCCTCTGTTCTCGGGATGGAAGAGAGGAGGAAGGAGAGGACGACTGTAGCCTTTTTGTGTTGTAGGCTTATCACCGTCGGTTCTTGGCTAGAACCGACAGTGATAGTGCCCAATCACTATCGGCTCTTGGCTTAAACAGGCAGTGATGAGTGCCCGCCAAAACACTGCCGGTTCAAGCCACAAACCGACAGTGATGTGGTCCTTCACTGCCGGTTTTAGCCTAGCACCAATCATTTTTTCATTTTCAAGCTTATAACCGACAGTTAACCGACAGTGAAGGTACATCACTGCCGCTTCTCACAAATCCGGCAGTGATGTGCAAATCTGGCGTAGTGATAGTCCCACATTACTACTCTAGGAGTGAGGCTAACTTAAACAGTTGATTTATCTCCAACTAGTTGAAGCTATTAGGGAGATTAGGGAGAGGAAAAGGAAGAAACACATGCGCACGCTTGCCTTGCCTCAGGGCGGGGCAACAAGGTGGGCGCGTGACATGAGTGTGAATGGTCTGACGATTTCTCGCTTCGACCTTGCGGGTGCGTGGCTTCCTTTTGCTATTCTATATTTTTGCCACACATTTTTCCTGCTTTTCTGGGCTCCCCCATCGCTGCATGGTGCGCGAACCTTGAAGCTGGAGCTGCGTGAACCGATAACAATAATGCCGCCACGGTTTCTCTCATCTCGATCGTTCGCAACATGGACCGACTTGACCGATGGACACTGCACCGCGCAAAGTGGCAACAGCAGGGTGTTGAAACTGGCGGTCAAAGGAGGCAAGGCGAGCAAGCGCCGGCTCGCTTTACCTCCTGTCATCTCGTAGCGTCCATCTCTTGATCTCGGAACCGCATTTAACTCTGTTTTTTTCTAGCGTCGCCAAGCAAGGCGGGCGACGCGCGTGACGGCGGCGGGGATGATGACGTGTATGCGCACAACGGGGCACGGCACAGGTGTCCGGCGCAACGGCCGGACGGCGAGTGCTGTCCGCCTTGGCCGGCCCTGCTGGCCACACTGGGAGAAAAATTCGGACGCGATGATGTGCACACCTCAACCGATAGGCCTATAACCAAGGCACCAAGCCGTGAATCGACAGACACACTGACTAGTTGTGCTAGCAGAGACAAACGGTGTGCAAAGGGACGCAGGCAGGATTGCCTTCTCATCTCATATCTTGCTTGTCCAAGGATTCTATACATTCTACTGGCTCTAGTTACGTGCTCTACTAGGCCCAACCATTGGCGCTTTGTCAGTCGACGAGCAGTCAGGAGGTGAGGCCAATCTTGGCTGGGCACGGTCACGCTCTCAGATCAGCCTCTCACCGACGGCCCTGCATCCCTCTCACGGACGGTAGACCACACCGACGTGGTGCTCTTTCGTTTTCTCATCACATGACGTTGTTAAAAAAAAACAGAAAACTGATGGCCATGGGCTTCCCTCTTGTCTCGGTTTTGAGCTGTGTAGGAAAACCCGCCAACGGTCCAGAACTCCAAAGCCTTCCCAACTGTTCTGATCTGCTTTGACATCAGTCTTGCCTGACTAGACCAGCCCCCTTCACTGGCCCAAGTTTCCGACATGTAAATGGCCTTGTCCATAAACTCAGTCTTCCTAGGCCTTACCAGTGGCAAGACCATTTCAGCTTAAAGCCGTAAACGCTGCCACTTGGTAATACAATACCGACCGGATTTTAGCTAAAAAGCTGACCAAACATGTACGGTAAAGCTCAATTAATTCAGTTACCTGTTGCAACTCGCGAGCTTTCACGTGACACTTCTTTGCAGATTCATCATAAATCCCATTGGTATAGGTTTTTTAATCCTTTTTTAATTAATTTCATATAGAATATTTTTTAGATTAATGCGGACGATTAGATCATTATAAAATCCAACAACATAGGAGGGTTTTTTTCTTCACTAGCAAACATACCCGTACATTATAAGGAGAGAAAAAATTATCAAACATTCATTCATGTGAAACAAGGACATCAATCTTACATAATCTTACATATATCTGTTTATGTTTTTTTTCTCTAAATTTAAAATCTATAAATATCCACAATATAATATTGGCAATAGTATACAAATATTTACTTGTAAGTATATCATAACATTAATTTTGGTACTATCTAAGCCTTTGATTAGTTGGACCATCGGTTGATCCAAGTTTTAGTAAGATAAATTTTGTTCCTAATCATAACTCACTGTTACATAAAGTTCAATACCGTTGGGGTCCAAAACCCCTTTCACCATCGGTTTTGACCTTCATTCATCACCGCTGGTGAAAATAGTGACCACTACTGGTTCCTTAGCCATGGTGATAATCAGAAAAAAAATCTCTAGCTATCAACGGGCTAAAATCTCCTTTTCGCTTGGGCTTGTGTCCCGATTGATTTGATTTGCAACATGATTGTCCCTATGGGGGCCCCTCCTGTTGCTTTTTACCTTTTTTTCGGTCAGGCATGAGCTCGGACGTCCCGACAGACGCCACGCCTCGGGTGCCACAGCGATACGCGTTTGCCACGTCTGTTAGCATGCCTATGTCTCTGCTTCACGTAGGGGCCCGACGCCTCCTTTTCCCCGCGTCTGCAGCACAAGGCCCATGTGAGGGTCGTGTCTGGATCTCGCGCCTCTCTCTTTCTCGTGCCCTCTCCGCTCCCTTGCGCAAGCATGCGGGCCAACATCAGTAGCACGTGGTTGCGACGGATGGGTCCCACTATAAGATGTGCAACACTAGATCTATTTTTGCAACATCTAGATGAAATACTTGTAACATACGTCCAAAACAGTTTGAAACACTTGCAACGTACTTTTGAAAACACCGGAAAATACGTGTGTAGCCGTGGACGAGCAATCAGGAGGCGAGGCCAATCTTGGTCGGGCGCGTCACGCCTCTCGGATCGACCTCTCTCACGACGGCCCGCTTCCTCTCACTGGACGGAGACCACATCGTAAAACTAGATTTTTTTAAATAATACTTTTAATGATTAATTGCAAATATAGAAGCTGTTATACGAAAATTTGACATATAGCAGTGTGTCGGCCGATGAATGGGCGGTAGGGGACATGTCGGCTTCTGAGTAGCCGATAGGTGTATATACCTGGCGTCCTGTCTACTGTAGTGCCGATAGGGGATCTGTCGGCTTCCGATTAGCCGATAGGTGTATACACCTGGCCATCTGTCTACTGTAGTGCCGATAGGACCAGTCGGCTTCTGAGTAGCCGATAGGTGTATACACCTGGCATCCTGTCGGCTTCTGCAGTGCCGATAGCACCAGTCAGACCGTGGAATGTCGACAGGTCCTATCCAGCTGCCTGTGCGTGCGCCCATGCGGCGCGCCTCCCCGTACTCGTACGCCGTCTTCGAGCGCCTCGTCCAGGAGCACTTCCCATTCCGTCGCCGCCTCTTCCAGTTGCACGCGCTGCTCCTCACCTCCGGCGTGCTGCTCCTTGACCTTGACCCCGACGCTCCTCCCTCCGCCGCCTTTCCTTATAACTGCCTCGCAGACGCGCACTCCTCCAGCGTCCCCGCCGCCAAGAACCTGATCGCACCACTGCGCCTCTTCTCCCGCCATGCTGCCTGCGGCAAGGGCGCCTCTAACCGCCACTCCTTCTCCCCTCCTCAAGTCCGCCTCCGCCTCAGGCTCCTCAAGGCAGCCCAGGCGCTCCACGCACAGGGCCTCCGCTGCGGCCTCGCGGCCGACCGCTTCGTCGCCTGCTCGCTCGTCAGCGCCCACGGCTGAACGGGACACCCGGCTCGCGACGCGCGCAAGGTGTTCGACGAGATGGAGGGGGCTCCGAACCTGGCCTCTTGCAACGCCCTGCTCCACGCGCTATGCACAGTACACAGGCCGTGGTGTCGTGCACTGGAGATCTGTGCATTAGCACGGCTGTTTGGTTGCACTGCAAGCTGCAATTCCATGCACGAGGTCTATGTCTAGCACAGTAAGGAACTCCAGGAAGCAAAGCAAGCGAAGAGACGCCACAGTACTGGCAGTAGCCCAGTACGAGTGACAGACGTTACAGTCTACTTACAGAGTATTACAGGGGCAAACAAACAAAAAAAAGTGTGTTCTCGTCTCGGTTTTGAGCTGTGTAGGAAAACCCGCCAACGGTCCAGAACTCCAATGCCTTCCCACTGTTCTGATCTGCTTTGACATCAGTCTTGCCTGACTAGACCAGCCCCCTTCACTGGCCCAAGTTTCCGACATGTAAATGGCCTTGTCCATAAACTCAGTCTTCCTAGGCCTTACCAGTGGCCAAGACCATTTCAGCTTAAAGCCGTAAACGCTGCCACTTGGTAATACAAAACCGACCGGATTTTAGCAAAAAAGCTGACCAAACATGTACGGTAAAGCTCAATTAATTCAGTTACCTGTTGCAACTCGCGAGCTTTCACGTGACACTTCTTTGCAGATTCATCATAAATCCCATTGGTATAGGTTTTTTAATCCTTTTTTAATTAATTTCATATAGAATATTTTTTAGATTAATGCGGACGATTAGATCATTATAAAATCCAACAACATAGGAGGGTTTTTTTCTTCACTAGCAAACATACCCGTACATTATAATGAGAGAACAAATTATCAAACATTCATTCATGTGAAACAAGGACATCAATCTTACATAATCTTACATATATCTGTTTATGTTTTTTTCTCTAAATTTAAAATCTATAAATATCCACAATATAATATTGGCAATAGTATACAAATATTTACTTGTAAGTATATCATAACATTAATTTTGGTACTATCTAAGCCTTTGATTAGTTGGACCATCGGTTGATCCAAGTTTTAGTAAGATAAATTTTGTTCCTAATCATAACTCACTGTTACAGAAAGTTCAATACCGTTGGGGTCCAAAACCCCTTTCACCATCGGTTTTGACCTTCATTCATCACCGCTGGTGAAAATAGTGACCACTACTGGTTCCTTAGCCATGGTGATAATCAGAAAAAAAGAAATCTAGCTATCAACGGGGCTAAAATCTCCTTTTCGTTTGGCTTGTGTCACGATTGATTTGATTTGCAGCATGATTGTCCCTATGGGGGCCCTCCTGTTGCTTTTACCCTTTTTTCGGTCAGGCATGAGCTCGGACGTCCCGACAGACGCTCACGCCCGGGTGCCCGCGCGTATACGTGCTGCTGCGTCTATTAGCACGCCTATGTCTGCTTCACGTAGGGGCCCGACGCCACTCCGTTTCCCACATCTGCGTGCGTCCATGCGGGGGTCGTGTCCCGATCTGCGCCCTCTCTGTATCTCGCGCCTGCCGCCCGTGCCCTCTCTGCTCCCATGCGCATGCACTCGGGCCAACACTGTAGCAGGTGGTTGCGACAGATGGGTCCCACTATAAGATGTGCAACACTAGATCTATTTTTGCAACATTTAGATGAAGTACTTGTAACATACATCCAAAACAGTTGAAACACTTGCAACATACTTATGAAAACACTAGGAAAATACATGTGTAGCCAGGGACGAGCAATCAGGAGGCGAGGCCAATCTTGGCTGGGCACGGTCACGCTCTCAGATCAGCCTCTCACAGACGGCCCTACTTCCCTCACCGAGCGAGCGTGCTTCCCTCTCACGGACGGTAGACCACATCAGAAAACTGGATTTTTTTTATATAATACTTTTAATGATTAATTGCAAATATAGAAGCTGTTATACAAAAATTTGACATATAGCAGCGTGTCGGCCGTTGAATGGATGGTAGGGGACCACACGGCTTCGAGTAGCCGATAGGTGTATATACTGGCGCGTCCAGGCTATCAGAAGTGCCGATAGGACCAGTCGGACCGTGGAATGCTCGACAGGTCCTATCCAATTGCTGCAGGCGTGCCCATGCGCGCGCCCCCCCATACTTTCGACGCCGCCTTCGAGCGCCTCGTCCAGAGCACTTCCCATTCCGGCGCCGCCTCTTGAGGTGCACGACGCTGCTCCTCACCTCCGGCGTGCTGCTCCTTGACCTTGACCCCGATGCTCCTCCCTCCGCCGCCTTTCCTTATAATCGCCTCACGACGCGCGACTTCCGCGCCCCTGCCGCCTCCTCATCTTCCATCCGCACTCATTGCAGTGCTCTCTTCTCCACCATGCTCACCCGCGGCGGGCGCCCCAACCGCCACTCCTTCTCGTCCCTCCACAAGTCCGCCTCCACCTCCGGCTCCACGGCGGCCATGCCATGGGCACTCCACGCACAGGCCTCTCGCCATGTCTCGTGGCCGACCATTCATCGCTGCGCTCGCTCGTCGCCACGGCGTCAGTCGGGACACCCGGCTCGCGACGCGCGCAAGGTGTTCGACAACATGGAGGGGGCTCTCGACCTGGTCTCTTGCAACGCCCTGCTCCACGCGCTATGCACAGTTAGGGGTGAAAATGGTACAGATATTTTTCGACCGTATTCGAGACCGAATCCGTTTAGTGGAGTTCAGATCTATCCGTATCTGAGTCCAGATATTTAACATCCGATACCGTATCCGTATCCGAATAATCAAATCGCATATTTATGATGTCGATATCCAATCGTATTCTATCCATCAAGGTTGACAATATCCGTATTCGAATCCGAATTCGGACAGAAATATGAAAACAAATGTAATATGAGTGATATCCATTCGTATCCGATCCGTTTTCATCCATATGCACAGTACACAGGCCGTGGTGTCGTGCACTGGAGATCTGTGCATTAGCACGGCTGTTTGGTTGCACTGCAAGCTGCAATTCCATGCATGAGGTCTATGTCTAGCACAGTAAGGAACTCCAGGAAGCAAAGCAAGCGAAGAGACGCCACAGTACTGGCAGTAGCCCAGTACGAGTGACAGACGTTACAGTCTACTGACAGAGTATTACAGGGGCAAACAAACAAAAAAAAGTGTGTTCTCCTTAGAAGATTTTGGCTGACCCAAATAGTAATTCTAAATAAATCCTAAAGGCCCACTCACACGTGCATAGTCCCACGTTGCTACTCTAGGAGTGAGGCTAATTTAAACAGTTGATTTATCTCCAACTAGTTGAAGCTATTAGGGAGATTAGGGAGAGGAAAAGGAAGAAACACATGCGAGCGCTTGCCTTGCCTCGGGGCGGGGCAACGAGGTGGGCGCGTGATACGAGTGTGAATGGTCTGACGATTTCTCGCTTCGACCTTACGGGTGCGCGGCTTCCTTTTGCTATTCTATATTTTTGCCACGCATTTTTCCTGCTTTTCTGGGCTCCCCCGTCGCTGCATGGTGCGCGAGCCTTGAAGCTGGAGCTACGTGAACCGATAACAATAATGCCGCCACGGTTTCTCTCATCTCGATCGTTCGCAGCATGGACCGACTTGACCGATGGACACTGCACCGCGCAAAGTGGCAGCAGCAGGGTGTTGAAACTGGTGGTCAGAGGAGGCAAGGCGAGCAAGCGCTGGCTCGCTTTACCTCCCGTCATCTCGTAGCGTCCATCTCTCACTCTCGGAACCGCATTTAACTCCGTTTTTTTCTAGCGGCGCCAAGCAAGGCGGGCGACGCGCGTGACGGTGGCGGGGATGACGACATGTATGCGCGCAACGGGGCACGGCACAGGTGTCCAGCACGATGGCCGGACGGCGAGTGCTGTCCGCCTCGGCCGGCCCTGCTGGCCACACTGGGAGAAAAATTCAGACGCGATGATGCGCACACCTCAAACGATAGGCTTCTAACCAAGGCACCAAGCTGTTAAACGACAGACACACTGACTAGTGCTTGCAGAGACAAACGGTGTGCCGAGGGACGCAGGCAGGATTGCCTTCTCATCTCATCTCTTTCTTGTCCAAGGATTCTATACATTCTATTGGCTCTAGTAACGTGCTCTACTTGTCCAAGGATTGATTTGATTTGCAACATGATTGTCCCTATGGGGGGCCCTCTTGTTGCTTTTACTCTTTTTTCGGTCAGGCTTGTGCTCGGACGTCCCGGCAGACGCTCACGTCCGGGTGCCCGCGCGTATACGTGCTGCTGCGTCTATTAGCACACCTATGTCTGCTTCACGTAGGGGCCCGACGCTGCTCTGTTTCCCGCGTCTGCGCGCGTCCATGTGGGGGTCGTGTCTCGATCTGCGCCCTCTCTGTTTCTCGCGCCTGCCGCCCGCGCCCTCTCCGCTCCCATGCGCATGCATGCGGGCCAACACTGTAGCAGGTGGTTGCGACAGATAGGTCCCACTATAAGATGTGCAACACTAGATCTATTTTTGCAACATATAGATGAAGTACTTGCAACATACGTCCAAAACAGTTGAAACACTTGCGACATACTTATGAATACACCAGGAAAATACATGTGTAGCCATTGCAAAATATATGCAACATCTAGATGAAACACTTGCAACATATGTATGAAACACCTGAAACACTCGAAACATGTGCTTGCAACATGCATGTGTGTGCAACATCCAGATAAAACGCTCGCAACATACGTCTGGGAAGAGATGAAACATTTGGAACATACACTTGAAATACCATTGCAACATGTGCAACATCCCAATCTACTTTTGCAACATCAATATAAAACATGAAACATTTGAAGTACTTGAAATAGACGCTTGTAACATGCGATTTCAACACAACATCTCCTTGCTGCTTAGAAGAATGAAGGCACGTTAGCGTGTGGAACTAACCGGTGTAGAGCTCGCTGGTGGCATGGAGATCGGTGCTCCGGTGGAGAAGGCCGTGGCGGGTCTCCATATTGTGTGGGTGGAGCGCGAGATGTGCGTGGGGTAAGCTTTGC